TGCGGAAAGTACTCTGTGGTTATAACTGTAACACTGGAAACAACAAAACTTGAATCCCAGTGCTGGCTGAGACACCTTGCTTTCTTTGATATTTATCAGTGAGAGTATAGCCTCGCTCTCCTTCCTCTCTACCCTCCTCTACCCTGCTGGCAAGAGTTGTTGTTGTTCAGTGGTTCAGTTGACTGTAACCCAAAGGACATCTGTAACTGCTTCTTTGAGACCCTCTAAGCTCAGGCTTGTCAGCAGTATCAAGCCATCTTGTTTTTTTGTTGGTCTCTTTTTTGAGTGCCTTCAATTTTTCCAAGCATCAGGCTCTTCTCCAACAACTCTTGCTTTTGCATTATGTATTCAAAAATGGTAAGGTTTAGTTTCATTACTGTATTGTCATTTCCAGTGAGTACTTTGGTTTTACTTCATCTACTTCTGATTTGTTCTTCTTATGAGCCAAGGTATTCTCAATTATTTTCTCCAGCACCACAATTCAAAAGCATCAGTTTGTCTGATCATCATTTCTGATTATCAGTTTTTATAACCATACATTATGACAGAAGACTATGGCCTTAATCATACCTTTGTTGTCATTATGATATCTCTGTACTTTAATATTTTGTCCAAACTGTCATAGCATTTCTCCAAAATATCAGATGTCTCTTTATTTAATGTGTATAGTCACCATCCCTGCAAATTTTTGAACCTAGGAAAATAATTTCATCTATTTGTATTGGATTAGCATTGCCTTTTGAAAGGTTCTTAGTTTTTTTTAATATTGAGCAGCAGACAAATTTTTACACTTTTTTTTCACATTCAACAAGAAATTCTTTAAGTCTTCCTCAATTCTAGCCAACAAACAACATGCAGGTATCGTCTGCATATCTGAGTTTGGTGGTATTTGTCCCAGCAATTTTAATTCCAGTTTCAACTTCTAGTCCATCATTTCTCGTGATATATTCTGCACATAAGTTAAATAAATAAACAAGATGACAGTTTGCAACCATGGTGCTCTCTTTTCCAGTGTTGAATCATTGACTTGCTCAATTTTTCATTCTATTTGCTCTTTGCTGGTTATCATACATATTCTTCAAGAGGCAAATGAGGTGGCTCTAACGCTTGACTTTTCCATTATTCCATTATTCATCAAATGTCCATGGTATGATCTCAGGTGTCCCTACCTCTTCTAAATCCAGCTTGTACATCTGGGCTGGCAAAAAACTTGCTCATAAATGACATTCAACAGGCACTGAGGAGGTGGGAGGCATTCGTGTGTAGCTGTTACAGGCACAAAAACAGTGAGCAGATGCTTATGAAATAGCCAACTCCCCAAGCTTACAAAAGAAGCGGCAAGAGGAAGTAAGTGTTTGTTTTTAGCAAAATACAAAGGCGGGCCTTCCTTTCAGATCCTTTCCAAGATGCAGTTACAACAGCACACAGATAGAATGAGTGGCACGTTGAAATTTCTTCCGTTCTCCACTTCCCCATCTTAACCAGTGGTGTATGTATCCCAAGATTATATTTCAATTTGAACTTCTGCTTTGCTAATAAAAATAAGCCAATTAGGGTATAACAGTTAGAATGCTGGAATGAGGCAACCCAGAGGGACACACAGTCCTTTGCAGTTGTGAAGTTCACTCTGTGGATGTGGGCACATCACCTTTTTCTTGCCCTAACCTTTTTCACAGGATTATTATAAAGATTATGGGGAGCTGGGTTGATACACTACTTCTCAGTTGTTTTTATTACTTCCTCTACTGCAAAGCGAAGGTGAAAAAATGCCCCACCATTATTCAAGGACTTCAGTGGCAAGTCAGGCAGCAATTTATTACAGGAATCCTGTCTGGGGCACTAAGATTAACCATGTTTATCCATGATCTATAGCACACTTTGCAAACACTTTCCACAAATAAAACAAATCTATGCCAAATTTAAACTTCTGTATAGTGTCTCTACCTATTCTACACCACTGCTTTTCAAACTTTGCAGTTTTAAGCTGTGGAGACTTACAAGTTGCCAAGTTTAAAAAAGACTGTTCTATACCTTTCAGCTAGAACAGACTGCAAAAGTACAGGCATTCCCTTCGTGTGAAGCACTTGAGAAACTCTTGCCCATGACAGGAGGTGCTAGTCCAAGGATGATCCAGAGCCTTTTTATTTTAGGCCCCTGAAACTCCTTCTGGCTGTGCTTGCTGAAAATCGGCCACAGAATTTCCTGCCATTTTGAAGCAAGACATTATAATATAATTTAATGCAAGAAGTCCTGCAATGATGCAAGAAAAAGCAGAACATCCCAGCCTCCCTCACATGTACAAAAAGGACCCGCCCTTTGCATTCTCTCTCCACCCACTGCAACTTTCAACAGTTCCCAAAGTTAAGGGGCCCTTGGCCAGGAAAAGGTCACCCACCCCTATGCTAATGCAATAATGGGAAACTCCCAAAGCTTGTTAAGGGAAGTATATTTATGTCCTTTTAAGGCCATGATTCCTTTGCTGAGAAACATCCTCCAATCTGTCTCCTTTTCTAACAAATGTTACTATAATCATTATGTGCTGCATGCTAACGCAGTGAAGTATTTTCCAGAAGGGAAGCCAGGTTGGATGTGGTTGATACTTGAACAGGAGACCACCCAAAAGCCCCAGTCTTGTACATTGGACTCGGAAGTTAGAAAAGCATCCCAGCAGAAGGCAATGGCAAGCCACCTCCAACACGCTGCCGAGAAAGGACCGTGGATGTGTCCATGTAATCAGGAGGAGTTGAGCTCAACCTGCAGGACTCTACTTCAGACATATTAAGCTGCTTCAGCCAAACTCATAAAGGCCAACACAGGACAAAAACTTCCATGCAGGAGTTGAGGATGGGGTCTATTCATTTATTAATGTATTTATCTTACAACAATTTTCAGAGACAGAACAGTATACGATTAAAAACAAGACCTATACATAACAAGATGGTTGCTCAAAATCTTCATCCTAAGCCCAATGTAAAAGTACTTTCTGAAATGTCATATGTTCCTCTAGTCTCAAGACCCCTTTACATTCATAAAAATGATTGAGGACCCCACAGGGCTTTCATTTATGTGGGTTATATCTATCAATATTTAGTATATTAGAAATTAAAAGTGAGAAAATTTTAAATATTTGTTTATTTGACTGCAGACCCTCTGACAGAGTCTCAGGGACCCCCAGGAGGTCCACACCCCTCCTACTTCACATGGGACTTTCCACACACCTTGCTCTCAATGGGTGGACCAGATGGAAAGATTCCAGTCTGGGGAGGCAGACTCTGATATAACTCAGCATCACAGCAGACAAGGCTTTACAGGTAATGACCAGCACTTTCAATCGGGCCCAGAAGCTATTGGTAATCAGTGCAGTGACCATGACATGTGAGTAACTCTACTATTACAGGTCTACCATGGAGTCTGTCTGCTGCACTCTGACCGGCTGCAGCATTCTAGTCAGCATCAAAAGCAAACCCATATATAGCTTACTGCAGGAGGCCAGTCACGTGGTGTTCATGAGTTAACATTGCCCTGGCTTTGTTGTTCAGATAGGGCCATAACTGTTATATCAGCTGAAGACAGATGCAGCCCCCCTGGTCAGAATCTCCACCTGCTCTTCAAGTAGGAGCCACAACTCCAGGAAAATCCCAAGTCACAAATCAGCAACTTCAGGTAGCAAACCACCCTACTGACAGTAACCACCAGGGCCAATGAACAGATGCTGTCAGTCTGTAAATTTCTTAAAGCAATGCAACTATTGCCAGAAAAAGAATGGAAAAGTTTGGTCTGCTATCTCTGTCTGCTTGAATCCAAAGCATGACAAGATGTAGTATCACTCAGAGTGATCTGGGTGACTGTATGAGAGATGAAGTGGTTGATAATTGTTCCATAAAACCTTTATATATTTGTATTTATTTGGATATTTATAAATAACTTTATAATGGATAGCAGGACTCAGGGTAATTAATATAACAAAAAATCTAAAAAAAATAAAAGTAACAACAGAATGTAATCATAAATAGTATTAAAAGGCAGTAAAATGCAACAGGAAGGATATGGCAAGGTAAAGGAGGGATTCACACACTGCACTAAGCCATAATGTGGTGTTTAGCTAAGCACATTGTCCTAAACCACTATTATTTATGTTTGTTAGATATATATCCTACCTATCTTCTAAGAGTTCAGGGTACCATACTCAGTACTCCCTCCTTCAATTGTATCCTCACAAAGAACATAACAACCTCTAATTACAGTGAATCCAGCCAAATGTGGTTTCTTCACACACCATGGTTAATTAAAATATGGCTTAATGCAATTTGAAAACTCAACAAAAAAGTCTGGGCAAACAGAAATTTACAAAATTTCTGACCCCCAGATTATTGAGGCCATAGTAAGTCCCACTTACAAAGGCAAAACCATTATTTAAAAAAGGGGGGGAGGTTTAAATACTTCTACTGCCGTTTTTAAGACAGGAGAGGTCCATCTCCCAGCATCTAGCCCACAAGTATTTAGGACCTTAAAGATAAAAGCACCAGCAGGATTAGATTGGATTAGACCCGGAGGCAAATTAGCAACTAGTGAAACTTCCTTAACATCGCTTTCAGAGTCCTGCGCAGTGATCTGCTGCTGAAACCTGTCAGTCTATCTTGCCCTTCATTCTCCTCCACGGCGATCACCAGTGCGGTACCTTTCCTCGCTTGCGAGAGCGCGGAGAAGTTGGCACTCGCCCAGAGTTTTCGGGCTACGTGACTATCCTTGCCCCTTTTTCTTATCTTTGTATGACAGAAAAGGGCTGGGAAATTGCTGTTTGCCGTATGATCTCACTTCACAAGTAGCAATAACGGCTTCCCTTTTCAAAGTTAGAGTAGCCTTCTTTTCCTGCTTTGATTAAGTTAAACCAAACATCGCCGACCGCAAAAACACAAATAGCGCCTTTCAAATAAGGGGGATTGCGCATGTCTGGCGTTCTCATAGCGGAGGGGCAGCTTAAAGTGGCTCCAGCCGCTTCGAGTTAGGACAAAGGAGCGGGGTGGAGCCGCAGCTGGGCAAGTAGAATGGGCTGGTGGGCGGGATTGCTGGATGGGGCTCTTAAAAGAGGCGAAGTTGCGCGTTCCTCGCGCAGTCCCTGCAGGTTCTTTGGCGCCGTTGCGATGGCTGCTGCCTCGAGGTACGGTCTGGCCGGCATTGCGGCGCGGCCCCTGGGGGCTTCGGAGCCCGTTGACCTGGGCTCGCTGCGGGGAAAGGTGTTGCTGATTTCCAACGTGGCTTCGCTCTGAGGCACGACGACCCGGGACTTCACTCAGTTCCATGAACTGCAGCGGCGTTTCGGTCCTCAGGGGCTCACCGTGCTGGCTTTCCCCTCTAACCAGTTTGGTCACCAGGTACGGTATCCGCAGGCAACAAGTCTTGCCTGGGGCGAGCTCGTTCAGCCGCGGCTGCGCTGCTGAAAAAGGCGGCCTGGAGCGAGAGCAGCTCCTTAACTGTGGAGTAGCCTTTGCAAGTTGAGCGGTACAAAGGCTCGGTTGTGCGGATAGTCGCAATCCTAGGCTTGTAGAGACTGGCTCTAGCGGTGGGAGTGTGGCCTCTTTAAAACATCCTGTCGCTGAAAAGACTGGGGCATGTCTGGGTGCAAGGGGATGTTGGAAAAGCACCCTACAGCAGATTAACTTTTTCAGAAAATTTACTTCCGTGTTCCCCGAAAGCTCTGACCTTCAAAATGGGAAAGTCTCCTCAGAAATGAAGAACTGAACCCACCCATAAATTAAGTAAACTGAACACTGATATCGAAGTTGGGGGCTTGTCTGCCTTTGCTTTTCCTGGAAAGGCTCCATCTTCCTTAAGAGGTCATCTCATGGCGTAGGAGTGTTATGGTGCGGAAGGATGTGTGGCTGTATTTTTCTCTTTAACTGAAGTCCCAACAGAGGAAGTCACACAGAGCAATTCTGAGTGGGTGCCTTGGAGAACTTTTTTTATACTACCAGAGAAAAAGACATAGTCCAAGGACTCCCTTGCATGATTGCCTTGCTTTCCACATACAGTTAGTCAGGTCTGAAAGGAGGGCAGATTTATTTTCCAATACAGTACAATGTGTTAGGAAAACTAGTCATGCAGGCACTTTGTGTTAAAAGGGGTGGGATGCATTAAACTTGAATAAGTTCACAACCTTTCAGGAGAGAACAGCTCCTGTACCCCAAAGATCCCAACTTAAATGACCCCAGTGCGCTAGATTGTGCTGGTTTCTGCAACTTGCCCTTGGAAATTCTTGATAAGTATTTCTTGCAGCTGCACTTTCCAGCTCCACCTTAAGGGCAATGTGCAGGAAGGATTTTTAGCTGTCAGTCTTAACTTTGCAAAAATAGAGTCTGAGATGTGAAAGTATATGAATGGGAAAGACAGCTGCAGATAGTTAGGATAGAGGAAAGAGAAAGCCATGTGTTAGTGAGGTTAGTCAGTACTTGACAATATGGGTTGACCTGTACCACTGGAGTAAATGACTTAGCATGAACATTTTTTCTGTAAGGAATAGGAAGTGTCAGATCATGGTAGCTCTATTGCATTAGAAAGAATCAGTAACTGAAATATTGTTTCTGCACAGCACTTGAGCTCATCCATGTGCTTAAGCTGCATAACTACTGTAAGAGAAAACTCGGAAAAAAGCATCTGAAGATTAGATAGAATGTCTGAAAAATAATTTATATTTTTTGGATGAAAATATAATTTGCACTGCAGCATAGCTATTAAATACAAAATTTGAAGAAAAAGGTGAATGTGTATCGCAAAACCAAAATGGGTAGCTTTAGTAATGCTGTGATGGTCATGTCTTGATGTAGATCACATGCCTTTCTGCTTTGTTACAGGAAAATGCCACCAATGAAGAGATCCTGAAATCCCTGAAATATGTCCGCCCAGGCAATGGATATGAGCCCAACTTCCCTGTGTTTGAGAAGTGTGAAGTCAATGGGGAAAATGCTCACCCTCTTTTCAAGTTACTGAAAGAATGGTTGCCTTTCCCACATGATGATCCCGTGTCTCTGATGACTGATCCAAAGTTCATAATTTGGTCTCCTGTGTGCCGCAGTGACATCGCTTGGAATTTTGAAAAGTTCCTCATTGGTCGTGATGGGGTGCCTTTCAAACGTTACAGCAGGAAATTTGAAACTATCAAGATGCAGGATGACATTGAAAAGCTGCTTCAGCAAACCATCTAGATTAAACCAGATAAAATCTTACTAAAACTTCCCTACCTCAATGCTTTCATCTAGGTTTTTAAAAATACATAATGCTACTGTAGGTTTAAATGTAACTTCCCATGCTAAATTAAATTTATAAATCTAGACCAAAAAAACTTTGCAGAAGATAGTTGCTTATACATTGTAGCAGCAAAACTTCTCTGAAATGCAAGAATCTGCTAAATTGCTGTAATATAAACTAAACCTATAACTCTTCCTTAATCCTTATGGAAAAGACTTAAGGATTACTTAAAACATATGGGTCTGAAGTTCATGTACGTTATGTGTGCCATTGACCTCTGTGAAGTAGCAGACAAAAAAGTGTATTTTCAACCATTTTGAGAACCACTCAAATGTAGGGGCATAGAACTAAAGTGTACTCAGGAAAATTATACACAGGGAAGTAGAAATTTTGTCTTTCTGCATTGCTTGTTTTGCTGTGATTCAGTAACTGTTTATTCTGCTAGTAAGATTCTACTCTCCGTCAAAATTTTATTCATGATGGTGCTTCTTCTAAATACTTGATAAGCACTTGATGTACTTTTAAAATTTTGTATGTGAAGTTGTGGAAAATTATAGCAGGTAACAAACCAGCTGCCTCCAATGCTGCTGTTTCAATGCTACCATGCACCAATAAAATCTTGAAATAGTTACTATTGAGTCTCTGCGTGCTTCCAAACTAGTTATATTCCAGTCTGATATTTATTTTATAATTTTTGTAGCTCATCCAACTTTGAGATTCCAGGCAGCATATAACAGAGTATAAATATCAGTTAATGCTGAGGAAAAATAACCACTAGCGGCTGTCAAGATGGACACTACAAGACATTCATCTGAGGTTGAAAGCCTGGCACAATGAGGTTTTGATTGCCTTATGAAAGGCTAGGAGGCAGAGGCTACGTGTCCCTTTGTGGGTAGAGAGTTCCAGAGAATTGGCCCCTAAGAGGAAAGGTCTATTGCTTTGTTCACGTTCCTCTAAGCATTTTTTGTGTGTGTGTGGGGGGTGCCTCTCAGTAAGCTCTTTCAAGATATTCTTACTGGATGGGCAGATTTAATCTTGAAAGCTATGCCTAATGCAGCTGTAATAGGTGAAGCACTCTGAACTGGGCCTGGAAATCATCTGGTGATCAGTGCAGTGCTTTCAAGAATACTGTTATCCTGCTGATGTGGAGGTGACCTGCCAGCAATCTAGCTGCTGCATTGTGAACCAAGTACAGTTTTTGCATCATCTCTGAAAGCTACCCCGTGTAGAACTTGTATCTGTTTCTTCCATATTTGTTTCAGAAGGCCCATTAGGCTATTTCTTGTATTCCCAGCATAGTGCCATGGACATCAGTACATGGTAAGGATATTTCCCTGGCATCTGGCAAGCTTTTTGCCTATGCTATTCAATTTTTTAAAGAAAGTGAGAAGCTGGAGGGCCCTGAGCGTTGATTTCTACAAACATCGTTTTCTTTAAAATGCCTCTAGTCCCTCTAGGCACCGGAGGAATTGTTTGAAAATAAAACATGACCACAATCCAGAGTGTGTTTTGATGTGTGCCTTGCTTAGCTGGGCAGCGAGGGGGAAGGAGGAGCAAAATAAAACCTGGGACCAGTGTGGAGTGCTCTGGGGCTGAAAATGATAGTATGCGCATTTTGTCTCTCTTGGTCAATATGAGAGATACTTTATATATTGGGTGATTTGCTTTTTTGGCATGTATATATGCTCTACCTGTTTTATGTAGATATTTTTCTTGACTTGTCTGAAAAAAATGCACTGTTGTGTTTTATAGGACAAAGTGTGCAATTTGACATTTTAATCAGAACCCATCCCTACACTGTATTTAGGTTCTTGGGCAAATAACTTGTCTCCTCATCTCATATACTTGTTTTACAGAAAGTTGATGTTTTGACTATCTTGCCATACATGATAGCTATTGGGAATGGGAAAGCCCTTGTCCGCTAGAGCTAATGCGCCAGCGTGCAGAATTATTGGGCTACAGTATTTATCTAGAGAGAGCCGGTTTGGTGTAGTGATTAAGGCATCAGGGTAGAGACTCTGAGTTCTAATCCTATCTCGGGTACAAAGCCATCTGGATGACTCTGGGCCAGTCACACTCAGCATATTTCTTATTTACTAAAGTTAATTATCAGTCTTAGCTCAGCATTTCAAGATATAAATATTTTCCACCCTGAAAGAAAAAAAAAGACTATCCAATAATTCTAAACTTATATGAAAGCTTTTTAAAAGAGGGTTATAGCAAGCCATTTCTGTGTTTCCAGTAAGCATCAGTGACTCCTTAGCTCAGAAGTATTTATCTCAATCATTTACAATCCAAGTATAACATTACATGCAAAACTAAGACCAGCAGCAAATAACCAATAGCAGCTCCAAAATCTTCATACATCCTTAGAAATCAATTTAAATGTTGATCAAACTTGGGGAAATTATACTTCTAGGCAGCAAGTGAGTTTCTCTGGGGAGATAATTTCAAAGTTTTCAAAACCAAAACCTTAAGGCAATAGTTTGTGGTTTACACAACTAGTTTGTGAGAATACTACAAATTAGGGTGCAGGCACCAAAATATCTCTTTTAAAGTAGTGAATATATCACAAGATCACATTTCTTGGCATTAAAAATCCTGAGATGTTGGGCAAGAATGCTGAAATGTGAGATATAGTGGGTTTTATGGTGACTTATTTTTATTTTATTTTATTTTGGGGATACTGCCAATGCCATCCAAAAATGTCAGATGTGCAATGGTGACTGTAGGCATTGCATTACCAACTCCTAACTTATATAAGGTGTGGCAAAGGACTTTAATGATGTAACAGTCTTTATAAAGAAAAATGTTGGAAACAATTGAAAATTTATGGCCCTCAAGAAATTAACACAGTAACTCCCTAAAATTGTTCTGTCACCATGACTAAGAAATGCTAAGTTGTAGTCAAGCACCAGAGGAGAGGAAGAACAGCAAGTTCTCCATCTTGTACTTGGTAAGGAAATGTTGGAAGAGATTTTTTAGTTTGGAGGTTTTCAAACTTGGTTCCATGATTACTTACAGACTGCCTGTGTGAAGGTACTTAAGCAAAGATGACATTTTCATACAATATGACTGATTCAGACATGTAATTTACCCAATGTTCTTGTATCAAAGGAACTAAGGGCTGCCTTACTTGTACTGCAAGCAATAATCTTTACAGTACCTCCTTTTTAATTGTTTAAATATTATAGTACATCTATCAGGATTCCTCATATCGGAACCCTGGAATAGAAGATTTTTTTATCCTTCTGGACTTAGAAAAAGAGAATAGAACAGCCCTGCAAAATGGGTCTTTCATCTTGCATCTTCGTGATGTTTCTTTTTAACTCACTAGGGTGCATTAAAAACCACTCTGCAGTAGCTCTGAAATCAATAGGGTTGTTTGAGACTGGCATTTCTCAGCCTCAGCAACTTTATGATGTGTAGACTTCAACTCCCAGAATTCCCCAGCAAATTAAAATTGGGACGTGACAGTCTGCCTGCTATGACAAAGGTAGCTAGGATGTTGTGCAGTAAGTGCTTCTGATATATACAAAGCCACTATTGCAAGATAGATGGCTATATAAATTGAATAAATAAAGGAGGCAGCCATCAATTTCCTGTATGATTTGGCACTTGATCACTAAATACTGCGTATTAGTGGTTCAAGCCAAACTAGGTTCTCATATCATGAGAACTAGGTCTTTCAACGACCTGGCTTGGTGTGCTTTGCACACATGGACAAGTACAAAAGAAAAAGGTAAGGGCACAGTGCATGGCAGAAATAGCGCTCTCAACACGTTTGCTTACCATGCTACCTGGTTGCCACCCACTGGTTGTATTTGCATGACACACTACCCCAAACTTGCTAGTCATGTTTTAGGTAAGTATGTTATGGAAGCCAAACTGTAGTTAAAGGTTTGGAATGCTGTAGAAACTGCATATTGGGTTAATTCTATAACCCATAGTTAAATTAAACATGGACAGTTATTCTGTGAACAGAGCCGATTATTTTTATCCTACTTTTTTTATATATAACTCAAGGCAGCAAACATACTTAATGCTCCCACCTCCTATTTTCCCCACAGCAACAACCCTGTGAGGTGGCTTGCGCTGAGAGGGAGTGACTGGCCCAGAGTCACCCGGTCACCCATGCCTAAGGGAGGCCTAGAACTCACGTCTCCTGGCTAATAGGCCAGCACCTCCGCCACTACATCAAGGTGACTCACAATTATCAATCAGTCAGTTCTCAATCCAGGGTACTTGGGCTGTTCGCGCTTTCGACTAATTAGCAGCACACCAAGGACCGAAAACAATTACAGGTTCCTTTTCTAGCACCGCTGTGACGTCTGAGAGGAGGTAGTTACATCAGACAGCCAAGTGCCCTACATCATTGCTGCCGGTGGGACGCTTATTCAAGAATGAAAAGGACGTTATGGAGGCGACGAGGGCACTTCCCTAAAGACAGCCACCCTCGTGTCTCGAATGAATGAATGCAGCTTCCGTTGCTCGGAGCCAGAGAATGCCGTTCCCGAGCCGCCCAGGCTACACAACAAGGAAAGAACCTCGCTTCCGCTCCGAAAGAGGATCACCTTCCGCGTGACGTCGGCTGCCTGACGTTCTCAACCTCAGTAACGTCGCGCCTGCGCACTGACCTTCTGTGCGCTCTCCAGAGAAGGAGGCATTTCCGCGGTTGGGGATGGCCGGCCGGCCGGTAGGGCGCATAGTCATGGCGGCCGAAGTAGGATTAGAGGGCGGAGGAGCCCCTGCTGGCTTGAGGCCGGATGCCGCGACGCAGCGCACTGAGCTTATGCCACTTTTGGGAGCGGTTCTGCGGCCGGGGGAGTCCTGGTGAGCGGGCAGCCGGGCTGGGGGCGGCGGCGAGAGCGGGCGCGAGAAGGAGGCCGCGGGGGCGGTGGGGCTTGTCTCGTCCCGATCCGACCCGTCCCGTCCCCCGGTGTCAGGTTTAGGGCAAGGCCGCCCGGCCTTACTCCCGCCCGCTGACGCTCGGGCCGCTGGTTGCCGAAGGGGGCCGCGGGTGAGGCGGCGCGGTGGCTTGTTGGGGCGCTCGGTTTCTGTTCCGAAAAAGGTCTCGAAATGTCAGTCGTTCATTGCTGAGTCATTCTTGCGCCTCGATCGCTCCCTCAGTTTTTTCTTCTCTACACCTCTGCCCTTTGCTTTTTTAAAAAATTACTTTTTGCTTTTATGGTAGGTATCTGATTGACAGTCGGTGGTTCAAGCAGTGGAAGAAGTATGTGGGCTTTGATAGTTGGGACTTGTACAACGTGGGAGAGCCCAACCTCTTCCCAGGACCAATTGACAACTCCGGACTTTTTACCGGTAAGAGTCATCCAAAACTATGACTTTGACAAGGTCTCCAAAAGGGGATGAGGGTGTCACTTTTGAGTGCATTAGCCCTCCCCTGCAGTACACTCTAGTTAAGATGTCCTAACATTTGAGAACAGATTGCTGCCCCCTGTGGGTTTTTTCTGGGGGGGGGCTATGGAAAAAAAAGACTCTTTAGTATGAGGCAATTATAATTCTAGCTGGCCTTGAAAAAGGACTGAAAGATTCCATCCTTAAATCAGCATTTTATCCATGGCTTCCCATACAACCTTTTTTCTTTCTTACCATTTCATTGCTCTAAGTTATGCCTAGAACCCAAATCTGAATTTTTGATATCTTTATATATCTTTGTTATACGTAAAAGCTAAAAGAGAGCTAATAAATATATCTGCTTTAATAAGAAGACTCCACATCTTATTTAATTTACATTTAAATATCACATTTAATAATCTCCCTCCACATCTGCTTTCCTTCACTCTGTTTTTGTACTCTTTTTCACTTCAAGGAGGGTTCCTATTGTAGTAGGACATGGGCTGAATTTATAATCCTGAAGTCCCCTCACTCTAAATACAGTTCTAAAGTAGAAATATCTGCATATATGCGCTCATCATAGGTTAAAATAATACAGGTAGTCCTCACTTAACAACCCTAATTGGGACTGCAATTTCCATCACTAAGTGAAGCGGTCGTTAGGTGACAGCTGCCACCTTCACCCAGGGAGCTGCCACCTGCACCATTGCTCTGCCTCCTCTGCCGGCTCCATCCTGCTGCCCCTTCCCTGGCTGGGCCTGGCAAGCTCCCTTTGGTGAATGAGGCTCTGCCATCCTGCTACACTCGCTGCACATGTCCCAGGCCACACCCTTGCCCATCGCCTGGATCCCTGGCCAGCAGCTGGAGGAAGAAAACAGTGAAGTCATCTGGGGGCGGCAGTGGAGTGCAGGGCGGCCAAATGGGCAGAGATGTAGGGGGAAGATAAGCGGGAGGAGTTGAAGCACACACTGTGGTCATAAATGCAGGCCAGTTGCCAAGTGCCTGAATTTTGATCACGTGACTGTGGAGGCGCTGCAACGGCCATAACTTTGAGAACTGTTTGTAACTACCGTTAGATCAGCATCAACATAACTTTGAATGGTTGCTGAACAAATGGTCATTAAGCAAGGACTACCTGTATTCATGGAAAGTGGAACATACTTTGCTTCTGCCTCTGCTACTGAGAATTTCCCAAAATTGGAGAATTAAAGGACACATATTCTAGCTTCATCTCTTGATTGTCCAAAGGAGTATTGGTTTGAATTTCACATAAACAATATACTGATCACCACTTCTAACCTTGAAGAACTGGCCTCCCTCCATTCCCCATTTTTTACATGTCTATTTTTTTTTAATTATTTGAGGACAGGACCTGTTTCTTTGTTTATACTGATGTGAGCCACCTAGAGAAAAAAATGGTCTGAAAAGATTAATCAAGAATCCATAAACAAGTATATTTAACACCAAAAATCAGTATGGATGTTTTGCTTTCTACTGGAAATCACTATATATGCATGCATTATGAATATTTCACTGTTACTTTGTCTTGTAAAATTACTGCAGTCTTGAATAATAGTAACATAAGACTATCTCTATGTTCTGTATTGTTCCTCTTAAGGAATCTTTTCAAATTCTGTCCACTTTACTGATTATATAACTCAGAGTGTTTATTGTGAAAGAATGCACCTGGATTAATTCATAGTCTTTCTAAGGCAATGTTTGCAGAGCACACAGAGAGGAAAACTTTGGGAAGTGAAAGAGAGCATGGTACCATTTATGTATTCTTGCATTCCTCATTTTATCCAAGGTTTCAGACTACTGTGTTATACAAACTTTCAACAGATGCTGTCTTGCATCCCTGTAATGCAAATGCCGTACCTTGATCAGCTGCAGTATCCAAGTTAAAGGGATCTCAAATGGCTTCTGTTTAGAGCTTGAATAGCATGCTGCAAAACTATTATGTACACAAAAACAGAAAGACTTTGAAATGATTTTTGGATTTGATTAGAAAGGGTAGATTATGGAAAGAAGGAAATTATGATATAACTTTAGAGAGAGGGTAAAATATAAATGCATTTATAGCTGCTGTTAAGAAGATTGGAAACCACTTCTTTGTAACTTTTTCTTTTCTACTTCTCTCTCTTATTTCCTCTTCACTTGCTCTTTACTTTTTCCTATTCTTATTTTCAACTTAAAATTTGTATTGTTTTTATTCTGTTGGAAACCTTTCTAATAAAAATAATTTTTAAAAAAGAATAGCATGGTAAAACTATTCAACATGGTAAATCTCAAACGTTGACTAAAAATGCTATTGGAGGGAATTAAATATTCTGCTGTTTCTCCCTCATCATGCTCTGCAGATGTGGTTTGTGTCAAGATTTATTTTGATATAGTAAGTAAAATAGCCCATGTAGAAGTCTTTAAATGTTTGAGATGGATATTCAGTGTGTTGGTTAAGTGTTATTCAGGATTTCGTAGAAAGTTGGTCATCTTCCTGTATGGCCCTATGTCTTCTTTCCTTTTTTAGATTCAGAAACTCAAACTTTGAAAGAGCACCTCATTGAAGAATTGGATTATGTATTGGTTCCTACTGAAGCTTGGAATAAATTAGCAAATTGGTATGGTTGTATGGAGGGACAGAAGCCAATTGTGAGAAAAGTAAGTACTCATGTTCCTTGTGACTCCTAGATATTTACAAGATTGCAGAGAAGGCCTTTTTTTGCATATACACAGAAACTGTGTAAATTTCCTTTAACTTTGTCAGAGGAAATGTACTGTTAAATAATATTTTGATGACATTTAATGAGTATGTACGGTGTAATGTATTATATTTGGATATAAAATTGAAGAACTGAAATGGGGAAAGTTGCCACTTTTTCCCCAATAGCTAATATGAAAGATATGGGAAATACTATCTTCAGTTACCTATATTTTGCATATTAGTCATTAAGCTAAACTTGAGAATCAATATGGTGAGGTCCACTACACACTTATTTACTTCCAAATATTGTACATGAAGCAGAGTAAACTCATTCATGTAAAATAGTAAAATATGTTTTTTTCTTGCAGAGATGAAGAAAAATGTAGCTTTAATGTGTGGTATGTAGGGAGATGGTAGTGGGGGAAGGAAACAGTAGAAGTGAATGTTTCTTGAATGCCTGTGGCAAAAGCTATTCTTTCTCAATTTAAAATGCCTGACCATGCACAAGGAAATGACAAAGATGCTTTTTCTGTTAAAGCAAAATTGTAGGATTCACTGTATGGATGCCATTGCTTGTTCAACTCAGAATTCAATCAATTGTATAAAGTTCTATAACTTTGTTTAGCGACTTGATTTATTTTAAAACCCTAATTCTTAAACCTTTTACATAGAAGTATTTAAATGGATTGAAAAGTCAAATGGTTAAATTTCTACATGCATGATCCACAGATTGAAATTGGTTGTTTCTTAGAATTTTATTAAGTCTGTCCCAGTACATTAATATTCACTCACCATAATCATATCTTTGACATCCTTGTACTAAAAGGAAGGAAAAATTGAGGAAAGTTGGAGCATATTGGTTTTAATTTGTTGCTTCTTGACCCTAAAGAGGGTTTAATAAAATGGGAAGATGCAACAGTAAACATTGGAAAAGCCAAGGACACTCACAGGAAACATTCAAGAACAAGCTAAAGAATAATACGAGTATATAAAATATTAAATAGAAATCCACCTGAAATGTCTTTGCCTTCTGTCAGTTGCAGTATAATATGGAAGGGAAAAAAGTAAATGGAAAGCTAGTGTTCTTCTAGTGAATCTTCTGCTCGTGGGATTCTGTATTCTAAGCAGCCCAAGAGAGTGGGAACACCCTTAAACATGCAGCTTGGGGGGCTACTGTCTTTGTTTTTAGTTTAATTTACATCTGAAGTCACTATTTTTTCTTTGCATTGTCTCAGTTCAGTTCATAGCATAGAATGCCCTGCTATCCTAGTTTAGTACTTTGACTAATGCAGAAGCTTTGATTAATGAAAATACTTCAATTCTACCTTCATATAGAGTGCACCAAGAGACACAGTTAAGACATTTATGCACCTGGCACTCACACTGATTATTTCTCCCCTCCACCACTTTGTCTCTTATTGTCCACTGTTTAGTATTTTCATTCTAACATAGGACGCTTTACCTAGCATGGTGTTTAGGCAGGGTGCTTCCTATTGTTTTTTGTGTCTCTTCTTTTCTTCCTTGTTCTCAGCTGGCATAGTTGGACTTGGGGATTGTCACACTGGCATTGCCAAATTACAGACCTAAGACATGCAACTACGGTTAAGTGGTGTTTCTTCCTGTTGCAGTTCCTCTGTCTGCTTTTTTCAATCCAGTATCACAATTCTGAGGTTGAGAAAAGCTCCACTTTAGCATCCTCAGTGGTATGTGGAATATGCATCATAAAGGAATATCTTTTTCCTTCTACAGTCTTTATTTCATTGTTTCCAGGAGAGTGTATTTCTTTACAAGTATATGGAAAATAAAAACCCAGGGTTTGGTCTTTTTGCTTCTGATTCAGGCTTGGTAAGAAAGCAGTAATTCAGGGTCTCTGAACCTAAACAGATAACAGACTCCTGTACTGGTTCATCTCACTGGCATGTCCTCTAAAAGGCTCGGGATGACTGCTCTTATGGTCTTCCTACCTTGTATACAAGTCTATTCATAGAGGACACTTCCCTTGGACAGCTAACAAAGCACCTTTACATGCACACATATGGAGATATCCTAAACCCTCAAATCAGATGTATCTGGCCATCTGGAGGGTGCAACTTCCTCAGGGTTTCAAGGAGAGGTGCCTTGCAAGTGCCCCTTCAAAAATTTTACATTGCCTATATAGATACAGTGGTTGTAATCAGGAATTGTATGTAAAATTTAACAAAAGTGCTATTAAAAGTGTCACAAGCATGACATAGGCGGTTATATGAATTAAATAAACTTCCAAAAATAAAACTTAATTCCAGATTATTGAGGCATCAGGTCTTCTAGTTCTCTACTAGAATATTTTCCAACTTCCCGGAGCAGTTCAGGAAAAGTAAGAAAGGTTCTGTGTAGGACAGCATGCGCAAAACATTTCAAACTGAACAATTTCAAATTTGAATATGTTATTTCAGATGCAAAAATGCCCTGTTTTGTAATCACAGTGGGGCAGTTTGAATTTGAAGCAATTCAGAGGGTGGGTACGGATAAGGAACAATCAAGGCAGGCATGGAGCTGACATGTACATTCTGCCACATTTGGCTCAAAATGTTTTATATACTACTCGTTCTTTTCTCCATTGCTTATGTTTTGTCCTTTGTTCCAATTGAGTCTGTGTTGCCACCTTCCAAAGTTTTGACATAAGAAATAAGATGGTTATTAGACATAATATTTTGACATAAAAATAAGGTGGTTATTATAATTATAATAATATTTTGACATAAGAAATAACATGGATATTAGACTCAACTGATTTTATTTATAAACACATGTGGAATTTTGACTGCAGATAGGGCACATGATCCCATGCTTTCTGAAATGTTTTTAAGTGGTATTTTTTTAAATAGGTTGTGGAGTATGGATTGTTTGTAAAACACTGTAAAGTAGAGGTTTATCTTTTGGAACTGAAGCTGTGTCAGAACAGTGATCTTGCAAATCTTGTGAGCTCTTATTTCAGCAAAGCAGATACTATTGGTGAGTAGCATATCATGAAGCGTGTTAAAACCTGAAGCTAGTATGTTGTAAAATTTGAGAATTAAATGGGCAATTATATCTTGCTGAAAGTACTTTTTATTTAATTTTATTTGGTCCCTGCAGTTTTCTTGGCAGGGTTTTTTGGAAATAGTTTGCTCTTGCCTTCTTCCTAGGGCTGAGAGAGAGTGACTGGCCAAGGTCACCCAGCTGGCTTCATGTCTAAGGCAGAACTAGAACTCACACTTTCGGCTCCTAGCCTGGTGCCTTAACCATTACACCAAATTGACTCCGTTTTTCATTTATCTGCATTAAATATACATGATAATCCTTTTGAGATTTTGTTTTTTAAAACTCATTTTTAAATTGATTTATTCCATATCATATTATTTTCCCATCTTTTATACATTTATACTAAGCTTCATATGTTGCTCTTTTTCATATAAAAAATCCTGCTTCTAGACAATTACAGTAATATTTGAATACACTATTTTCTGCACCAGAAACCCTAATTTCATTTTTAAACTGACTCTTAAATTTTGCTTAAATTGAAGTATATATCTATTTCAAACCATATACAAATAGGACAGTATGAGAGTTACACAAAACCAGTATGTATAAGTTGTATCAGGGATGTATTCATTAGTGAAAAATAATCCAGAATCAACATGCCTTCTAGAATAAGCCTATTTATGTACTTTGAGTAAACCATTACAACCATCCAGAAATATAACATGTAAGAATATGTTTGTTTTATCAGCTACTATTGAAAAAGAAATGCGAAAGCAGTTTAATATTCCTGATGGAAAGGAAGTCAGACTGTGGAACAAATGTACAAATAACACTTACGAACAGTTAAGCAAACTGGATAGCACCATACAAGAGGCAGGGATCTATCAGAGACAGGTAAGAAATCTAAATGTATTTATGTTTCTGGGGTTACTTAAACAGGTTGCAGTTTTTAGGGTCATATATTCATACAAAATATTCTGAAATGAAATGGTTTCTGGAATATTGAGCAAAGTTCTGCTCAACAGTACCCATATGAAGGTTACCCTCTGTGAAAATTGGCTCCTGTATCTGGGACTGTTGTGTAATGGTACCATTAAGTGGCCAGAAAAAGTTTTGTTGCAATCACTATATGTAGGTGCTGATTTCTGAAATAGTAGCTGCTTGTTTCAGGGTTGGGAGTGATTTGGGAGTGATTTGATTGGGTTCTGGAAATCTTTTGTCCAGGTAGCATTTGTTGTCTTATATTTTTATATAATACTGCTTATAACTATTTTTGTTCTGTTAGATAGTGCTAATAGAAGTGAAAAATGAAGATGGTACCTGGCCTAGACAATCTTCTCTGACCAAGTAAGCATTAGTTTCTCACCTTTCATGCTCTGTGACTCAATTAAGTATTTGCAAAGCTTGATTGCCAAAGCATAATTTGTAGTCTTTAGATTGGCCATGAAAGGTCACAAGCGGTATGTAATCAGAACTAACAAACTCATAATTTAAATGTGTGAATTAATAACATAACTGCCTTAACAAAATCTGTTTTGGTTGGATGTATTTTAAAGCCAGTGACAAATCTGACCTAAGAAGCCAAGAAATCCCAATAATATACAGCTACTCCTCATTTAGCAACTATCTCAGTTAGTGACCGTTTGCAAATATGATGGCAATAAATAGAATAAAAAATTCATTTTCTGACCAATGCACACATTTACCATCCTGACAACAAAAGTTTTCATGTGAAACTGAATAAGGTCTAGTCAGTTTCAGGGGCTGGAGGGCTCTAATTATTATTATTTATTGGATTTCTCCCCCGCCCATCTCCCCCACAACTTAATTAACTAATTAAGGTCACAGAGCTGAGCTTGTTAATTTGAAATTAGCACTTTTTAAGGAAGTGTTGTGCTGGGGAGAAAAGCAGCTCTGGAGGAGATAGCTTGTTTAAGCAATCCCTTTTACCCCTCTTTAAGCAATCCCTCTTACCCCTCTGCAAGGGGGTACAAAAGGGGGAAAAAACTGGTCAGGCACAGGACACTGTATAAAGAACTTTATCTGAATGAGACTGCAGCAACCAGTGATCTTCATAGCGCCTCTCTCTCTCAGTCACATGTTCACTTAGCGACCATTTCGCTTAACAAAGTAGCTGGAATGGATTGAAGTTGCTAAATGTGGAGAGGATCTATACTATAATCATGACCTTATTTGGTGGGCACACATGGAGCAGTGTCAGGCCTAGCCCAAGGAACTCCAAGAAACAATGCAAAATCAGTTCAGCTGTTATTAGCTACAACCTCTAGCAAGAATCTCCCCAGACTGAAACCCCAGCTCCTAAGCCAGCCAGCCACAACAGTGTGAATTCCTCAGGGAGGTGCCAGTCTCATCCTCTTGTAGTTCCCACGCTCTTGCGGCGAGCTAAGAAAATGCTTATCTCCCTGAGCCTGGCCTTCATAATTCCATTCCATCACAAGCAGTTTTGGATTGCTTGGAGTGGATATGTTTTAATTGTTGGAGGAAGATCATACAATAATTCATTTTCTTATATTTCTGTAATCTAAACAAAACATATGCAGCAACCATCTAAAACTTTTAAGGTTAGAGAGAAATTAAAATATTAGCTTACAAATTTCCGTCTTTCAAAAAAATTATAGATTTTTGGAACCCAATTCCAAAACCAGTATTTAAGAAATCATATAGTGTTATGTTAATGCTTTTCCTAGATCATGCACTGCAACTAGCAGAAATCTAGCTACCTCTTCAAAAGCACCAGCAACCTCTTGCTCTTCAGTATCTGCCTCTTCAGTCATTACAAATGGTGATAGCAATAACTCCTATGGTTTGAACTGTTCCAGCCTCGGTAAAGGGTAAGAGTAAAAATACGTGTAACTTTTTTTCCACAAGTATTTTAAATAGAGTCTCTCTCTTATTATATAACATTGTACCCTTAGGAAGTCTTAATCCCTATGTTTGCAGTTAGCAGTCTTTGTACATACAAAAAGAAAGCTAGCATGTTGTAATGGTTAAGGTGTTGAACAAGGACTTAGTCTTGAGGACCAGATAGGTGACCTTGGCCCAGTCACCTCTTGTCAGCCCCAAAATCAGTGTCAGTTTCTGTGACAGGCTGGCTGATAAACAGAACCCCTTGTTGCATCATGCATTGGTAAGCTTTACAATAAGAACTGGAGTTTGGCAGCAGATATGTTTAATAAGATGATGATGATGAAGATGAACAGCAACATCTAGGCAGATACAGTGCAAAAGTGGACCCTGCAATCACACAGAATACATGCGAAGAACAACAGTAGCATTTTACACCAAAATGTTAAGCTATGTTAGCTTTGCTCTCACAGCACTGCATTTCTTTGCCAGACACTGTTCTATTAGGAGAGATTCATTCTGTCCTTTTTTCCATAACAGTATTCTGTTGTGTCACAGCTGATGATAAAATGCTGCAGCATAATAGAGTTCTCCAAGACCAGCATGTGATTGGACGAAGTGGGAAATATAAAGAATTTGTACTGTGCGTTTGATGGACATGTGGAGGCCCAGAAACAGGAAATGTTTGGGAAAAAAAGTTTTTGCTTGAACCCTTTTTTAAAAAATTCAAAATAATTATTTTCTAATATTTTAATTTTAAGCAATACGTAAAATAATTAAGATGGAAAGGCACATTTGGAAATATTCATATCAAATAAAAAATAATAAAGGCAAAGATAGACAGTCCTATCTCAGTACAGGAAAACTTTCTTTAATAAACCCATGAAAACAATACAAATTATGGAAATAGAAGTGAGAATAAATTGAAACTGCTGATAGTAATATTAAGGTAGCAGAATGTACATTTTGACACTTGATTGTTCCCTACTTAGTCTCTTTTCCCCAGAAAAATTTGAGGCTTCTATATCTCAACCCCCCCCCGCACACACCCCCAAT